GCGAAGCCTTTGAGCAGCGACATGGAGCGGGACAGCAGAGGGGACCCGAATGGGGAGGACTCGGCTGAGGACCCTGTGTCGCTCTCCCCACCGCTGACACAGCGGCTGGGGCTCATGAGGGCCCCGCCGGCCTCCCTGGACGCCCCTTCGCCCCCGTTGGCCTTGGTGCCCCACCGACGGCGTCCGGTGCCTGGAGAGCCCACCTGGGCCAGAGCTCCGTGCTCGCTGTGGAACAGAGACTCCTTGCGCCGCGTGTGGGGGCTCTCAGCCAGCGTGGTGAAGCCGTAGGACGTCTGGGCCTTGGGCACTGAGGGCAGCGCCATGGCGCCCTGGGCCTGGGGGTCTGCGTTGGTGGCAGCCTCCTCCGGCGGCCAGTCCTCGGCGCTCTCGATCTGGATCACGTGCCGGGAGGCCGCCTTCAGCAGGCTCCTGCTCTCGGCAGCCAGCTTGGCGGGCAGCCGGGGGCTCCGCGGGGCTCTGCGCGGCGCAGCGGAGGCTAGGTTCTGCTCCGAGGTGGAGGGCCCCAGCTCAGCCTGCCCCTCCGGCTCCGCCGGGCCGGCAGGCAGCTTAGGGGGGATGAAGAAGTCGGGGATCTTGTCCGGAGTGAGCACGTTGCTGTACAGGGGCCCCTTGGCAGCCTTGTCCCCACCCTCGCCCCCCGCGGCTCCATTTTCCCCCGACCCCCGAAACCGCTCCAAGAACCACATGTTGGTTTTCTTCATGGGGCCGCGGACAGGAGGCCAGAAAGGGTCCGCAGAGTCTGCAAAGAGAGGCAGGTGTCAGGAGCTGCAGGCCCCCGTGCACTGGGGCTGGAAGAGGGGCTCTCCTGCAGGGGGCCAGCAGGGTCACTCAGGCGCTGCAGCCCAGGACGGTGCGGGAAGGGGGTTCGCCCCTCTTCCCTCCCCAGAGGAATCGCGCCTAACTTCCAAGCTCTGAAGCCGAGCCGAACGAGGTGGGGGCGGCGCTCCACTCTTGGGAAGCTCCCAGGGGACAACCGCTCCACTCTCGCACCCCTCCCCCCTATTTTGAGGATCTCAAAGCGCTTTCTAAAGGGTTCCAGGCTCAGTCCACAGAGA